AGAGAAAGAGAAAGAGAGAAAGAGAAAGAGAGAGAGCAAAAGCAAAAGCAAAAGCAAAAGGGAGAGGGAGGGAGAGAGGGAGAGGGAGGGGGAGGGGGCGAGGGAGACACGACGGACCGACAGATCGACAGACAGACAGACCGACAGACAGGGATTCAGAGAAAGAGCAAATGTTTAGGGACACAGAATTACAGCAGACAAGAGCCAGAGAGAGCGAGGGTGAGCGAGCGAGAGCGAGAGCGTCACAGACAAACAGGGAAGAGAGAGTGCGAGAGACAGGGCGAACAATGGGGAGCACCAAAAACCCCAAAAACCCTAAAACCCCAAACCCTAAACCCCCAAAACCCCAAAAACCCCAAAAACCCCAAAACCCCAAAACCCTAAACCCTAAACCCTAAACCCCAAAACCAACAAAACCCCTAAAAAGAGAGAGCCCAGAGAGGATGAGAGGTTAGGCGGGGGGGGAGGCTGCACCCTGCGACCAGGCCAGCGCTTTCGGCCTTCTCCCAGGGCGTGGGCCTCTCTCCAAAGAGACAAAAGGCGGCGGCTGTGGCGGCTATAGGGTTTAGGGTTTAGGGTTTGCAGGGTTTAGGGTTTCGGGTTTAGGGTTTAGGGTTTAGGGTTTAGGGTTTAGGGTTTAGGGTTTAGCTTTAGGGATTTCTGGGGTCTGGGAGCTTGGTGTGTGGGGTTTAGGGTTTCCAGTCTCTGGGAGAGGGCCGGCACATGGAAAGACGGAGCCTTGTGTCTATCAGATCAGATGCTCTACATAGGGGTTTATGTTAGGTTTTCTTTGCGGCAAGCTCTGCTCAACACCCTTTGTTGAAGGCGCACTACACAAAAACTCGTGTCGTGTGGCCAACTCCTAGCAGCACACACGGCAAATTTATGCGGACCACCTGAGCACTCGAACTCGGCACAAGTCATCGAAGACTTGAACAGCAACCGGAAATCAGAACGGCCCCAAGATCAAGAAGAATCGGGCAGCGGCCTCTTCTTTGGATACGCATCGTGCAGATGCTTCTCTTTGGCGCTGGGGCCGTAGCCCTGCAGATTGACAATTCTCCCGTACTTTGGGCATCAGCATTAGTGCAACCGAGGAGTTTCGGGCCAACCACGGCTCTGGAACTAAAGAAGCTGAAAGAATCTATGCGGGGGATCCTTTCACCAAAATCCCAAAAATGAATGCCTTGCCATCGATGATGTCGTAGCCGCGTCGGCGCTGCTCCTGGCAAAGACTGGACAAAGGCGATGAATGTTTGAACCTCAACATTCTGTGGCATGTATGGTCTCACACACACACACACAATTTCTGGATTGTCCTGTGAATTTTAGCATGTTGAACATAGACATCATGCACCATGGCATACTGCAAGCTGCTAACATACCAGCAGGACAAAGCCTGCTCGCTTCCAAAATCCCAGAGATAGATACATGGTCATACAGTTGACAGGCTCGACCTACCATGATGGTATAGTCAACATCTGAAACGATCGTGCAGGCTACAGACTGATGCGGCTACTGCTCCTGCTACTGCGCTACTGCTACTCCTGCTACTGCTACGGCCCCCCCTCCTACTATGCACGGACTTCGGTCGGTCAATGCAATCCTACTCCTCCTACTACTCCTCCCACTCCTGCTCCTCCTCCTCCTCCTCCTCTTATGCTGTGTGGCGAGCTACAGAGAGCGGTGAAAGGCCGA